ATCCTCTTGTACTGGTTTTTGGTTAAGGCTGAGGCTCCAAGCTTTTTTGGGTGCATTGTTTTATGGCCATGCGAATGAAGGGCTTTATTGGATGTTTTTTGTTATGGAAATGGAAGGGTAACGTTTTTAATTGACAAGGTCGATAGGTAAATAAATTGTGAATGCAAAATTTATATATAATGAACGTGATTTATGATAGCTGAGAGAAAGAAAGGAAGAAACGATGATGTTTTTTGTTATGCTTGTTTGAAGGGGGTAGAAATTTATTGGAGGCCATTGAGGGTATTTTACAATGGGCAATGAAAGCGGGTTTATGCACACATATATTTACATATATATTGTAATCATGTATACTTAACCAGCAATTCACACAAATAGTTCTTGTGACTCAATAAAGTCAGGATAAATATTTATCAAAAAAATAAATAAATAAATAGAAGAAAAAAAAAAATAAAAAATTTGTAACACTCTATGGAAAATTTTTGAAAGCTAATTTTTTTCTTAACTTCAGAATGTATTAGAATTTTTTTTTTCAACTTTTTCCCTTATGTTTTTAGAAAACTTACATTTATCCTTTCCCTTATCATATATTGTCTTCCTAATATCAACTGTTTATTATTCTAAATGTTGTCCTCCTTCGAAAGGCCATGTAAAGGTTAAGAGACATTAAACCCCCAACTACAAGTAGGTGTTTCCTTGTCCTTAACATAGACATAAATCTAAAAAGACGAACATATACCGAACACACATACTTCATGTATCATATCCAAATACCAGTAAACCACCTCCTCCTCCACATATGTCTCGTAGAGGTCTTTAGGAAAAAAACTCTACACACACATTAGACAAAATGAAATGCGGTAACCTTTTAATGTCATCCATTGTATAATTACGTTTAAATAGAGTTGTAATGGCACAAAAAAAAAAAAACAACAACAACAACATAAGACTTAGTTGAGTCCTTTGCACACAGGACTATTATTATTATTATTGTTGTTGGGGGTAGGATAAATAAGTCGTAATAGAGAAAATAAAATAATAATTATAATGAAGAAAAACGAATAAGAATGTAAAATACCAAATTACAGCCAATTCGGTGGAAAAACATGCCCAACATACCTAGATTATCGAAATTTGGGAGGTAGCCTTATATGGAAGCTACCCGGAAACATAGACCAATATTTATAATATTTGGTAGGACGAATTGCTACCCAGTGAAAACATAAAATACTAAATTACAGCCAATACGGCCGGAAAAACATGCCCAAGATCCCTAGAATATCGAAATTTGGGAGGTAGCGTTAAATGGGAGCTACCCTGAAACATTGACCAATATTTATAATTTTTGGTGGGTATATTTTCCAGTCTAGGAGAACTCAAAATACCAAATTACAGACAATTTGGATGATAAACGTGGCAAAAATCTTCAAAATATCGAAATTCGGAAAGTACGCTTATATGGGGGCTATCCTAAAAAGTCAACCAATATAAATAATTTTTGATTGGAAGATTTTCTACCCCATGAGAACCTAAAATACCAAATTACAGCCAATTCGATTGAAAAATGCGCTCGAAATCCCCAAAATATCGAGATTCGGAGGTACCCTTATATGGGGACTACCCTAAAAAATGGGTCAAAATTAATAATCTTAGGTTGGAAGATTTTCTACTCAATGAGAACCCAAAATATCAAATTACAGCCAATTCGATTGAAAAATGCGCTCGAAATTCCAAAAATATCGAAATTTTGGAGGTACCCTTATATGGGAGCCACCATAAGAGTTAGGCCAAAATTAATCATTTTTGGTTAGAAGATTTGCTACCCAATGAGAACCCAAAATATCAAATTACAGCTCATTTGCTCGAAAAATGCGCCGGAAATCCCCAAAATATCGAAATTTTGGAGGTACCTATATATAGGAGCTACCATTAGGGATGGGAGAAAATTAATCATTTTTGGTAGAAATATTTGCTACCCAATGAGAACCTAAAATACCAAATTACAGCCCATTTGCTTGAAAAATGCGCCCGAAGTCCCCAAAATATCGAAATTCGGGAGGTAGGCTTATATGAAGACTACCCTAAAAAATGGGCCAAAATTAATAATTTTTGGCAGCAAGATTTTCTACCCAATAAGAAACCAAACTACCAAATTGAAGTCCATTTGCTTAAAAAATTGCGCCGGAAACCCACAACAAATCGAAAATTCGGAGGTACCCCTATATGGGAGCTACCCTATAAAGTGAAAAAATTTTAATAATTTTTGGGATGGATATTTATTACCCAAATCGAACCTAAAATACCGAATTACAGCCAAATCGGTTGAAAAACGCGCCTGAAATCCCAAAAATACCGATATTTCAGAGGTAACCTTAAATGGCCGCTACCATAAAAGATGGGTCAAAATTAATAATTTTTGGTTGGAAGATTTGCTACCCAATGAAAACCCAAAATACCAAATTACAAACAATTCGGTTGAAAAACGCGCTCAAAACCCCCTAAATACCACAAATCCGGAGGAACCCTTGTATGGTGGCTACCCTGAAAAGTTGACCAATTTTAATAATTTTTGGTAGCACGATTTTCTAGCGAATGAGAACCCAAAATACCAAATTACAGACAATTCGGTTGGAAAGAAACATCTCCAAATTCCCTTAACCTTGTGGAGGAGGTTATACAAAAAAATCCAAAACCAAACCGCAAATCCTGAATGTCAGCAAAATTTCAAAATGATTTTTTTTTTAATTTTTTGACTTCGCTGGCAAAATATTTTCAGTCATTGCTGTTGTTAACTACCGCAAACCATTAGGAAGACAAATATGGGATTTTTTTTTCTTGTAAAATCTGACAAAATAATCTGATATACGGGAGTAAAGCAAGGAAGGCAGGAAACTACAACAACAAATGGGTTCCTGACGAATTTTTTTCTATAGAAAAAAATCACCTCAGGGGTCCTGACGAATTTTTTTCTATTGAAAAAAATCACGTCAGGGGTCCTGACGAATTTTTTTCTATAGAAAAAAATCACCTCAGGGGTCCTGACGAATTTTTTTCTATAGAAAAAAATCACCTCAGGGGTCCTGACGAATTTTTTTCTATAGAAAAAAATCACCTCAGGGGTCCTGACGAATTTTTTTCTATAGAAAAAAATCACCTCAGGGGTCCTGACGAATTTTTTTCTATAGAAAAAAATCACCTCAGGGGTCCTGACGAATTTTTTTCTATAGAAAAAAATCACCTCAGGGGTCCTGACGAATTTTTTTCTATAGAAAAAAATATCATCAGGGGTCCTGACGAATTTTTTTCTATAGAAAAAAATATCATCAGGGGTCCTGACGAATTTTTTCAGGGGTCCTGATGAATTTTTTTTCTATAGAAAAAAATATCATCAGGGGTCCTGACGAATTTTTTTCTATGAAAAAATATCCTCAGTTGTCCTGACGAATTTTTTTCTATTGAAAAAATTCACGTCAGGGGTCCTGACGAATTTTTTTCTATAGAAAAAAACTATCATCAGGGGTCCTGACGAATTTTTTTCTATAGAAAAAAACTATCATCAGGGGTCCTGACGAATTTTTTTCTATAGAAAAAAACTATCATCAGGGGTCCTGACGAATTTTTTTCTATAGAAAAAAACTATCATCAGGGGTCCTGACGAATTTTTTTCTATAGAAAAAAACTATCATCAGGGGTCCTGACGAATTTTTTTCTATAGAAAAAAATAACCTCAGGGGTCCTGACGATTTTTTTTCTATAGAAAAAAATTACCTCAGGGGTCCTGACGATTTTTTTTCTGTTGGAAAAAATATCCTGACAAACAATACCTTTGTAAAATTTTTGAAACCCCCTCCCCCTCCAAAATATTTTTTTTTATTGTTTCCGAACATTGGCATTTAATGAACGGCATTCTCTACACACTTTGCCAAAGGACCTTAGAACAACAGCAGCAGCAGTCATCATACATATGTATGACTATGTTGGTATGCAAACAACAACAACAATGACGACATCGGAAAAATGCCAGTAATATTTATGTTTGTTTATTTGCCAAAGACAACAACAACAACAATGACAATGATACCATCATACATAACTACCAAAAAACAAAAAAAACTTCCATGCATATGGCCATGGTCTTTGCAGGTTGATTTTTTTTACGATTTCTTCGTTTTTGACATTTAACATTCATTTAAGCAGGGTATGGGAGGGGAAGGGAAGAGAGGGAGGAGTGGGTTGATTTTTACATATGCTGCAGTTTTTCTGTTTTCCGAACAATGTTTTCTTTGCTTTTTAATTGTTCGCTTAGTCGGCAATGTTTAGTTAGTTAGTCGCCGGACTTCGATGCGGTGTTGTTAGATTTAATCTTTGGTGGTTAAGTGGCCAACTTCAAGGGGGAAGGGGGTGTGGAGGGGTGTTATAATATTTATTTAGCCTAGAAAAAAAAAATAGAAACATAACCTTTCGAACCAAAAACAGTTATTAAATTGTCGGATATTTGTGATAATAAATTTCAGGATTATTTATTTTAACCCTCCCAACCAAAAAAACTACAACAACAGCAACAACAACAAAAACCTAAAGACTCAATTGTGAGTATTTTAGGCAAAATAAAATGTATTTATTTTGTACTTCAAGCCCCATGATTAGGCAGGAGAAAAAAAATTAGACAGGAGAAAAAACATAACCTATAACCTAAATTAAGTTGACGACAGGATGGATGGCAGGACAAGACAAGACAATAAATGACAAAATTAGTCCTTATTGTAATCACACTTGTCATGTGCCATAACAGCTATATGTAAATATGTAACAATTTCTTGTACTTCAGCAGGATAATTATTTCAACATTAGCGGGGCAGGATAATTATCCCTTTTTGGGAAAAAACAACTTCATTATTTAGGAGATGAAATGGGGGGAGGGGAAACATGTTTTTTAAATACATAAATTATATAATTCTAATTTTGTAATTTTTTTCTTCTTCTTCTTCTCTTTTTTCCAGCCTTGGCATTGGCCGCGCCCACTTCGAAAAACAGCCACCCAGCAATCTGAGAAAATCAAATTTCTTTCATTTTGTCATTGCCTTGTATGATCGTGCCGGCCAACCCATTGAAATCGAACGTACCGCTTTTATTGGATTCATCGAAAAGGATTCCGAATCGGATACAACAAAAACAAATAATGGCATACAATATCGTTTGCAGTTGTTGTATGCGAATGGTAAGTAGGAAAAACTATTTTTCTTGAATAAAAAAAATAAAAAAAGACCCTGAGATGATTTTTTTCTATAGAAAAAAAATTCCTCAGGACCCCTGAGGATGGCTTTTTTTCTATAGAAAAAAATTCGTCAGGACCCCTGAGGATGATTTTTTTCTATAGAAAAAAAATTCGTCAGGACCCTGAGTCGATTTTTTTTCTATAGAGAAAAATTTGTCAGGCCGCTGAGGATAGTTTTTTCTATAGAAAAAAATCCTCAGGACCCCTGAGGATGGCTTTTTTTCTATAGAAAAAAATTCGTCAGGACCCCTGAGGATGGCTTTTTTTCCAAAAAAAAAAAATTCGTCAGGACCCCTGAGGATGATTTTTTTCTATAGAAAAAAATTCGTCAGGACCCCTGAGGATGGCTTTTTTTCTATAGAAAAAAATTCGTCAGGACCCCTGAGGATGGCTTTTTTTCTATAGAAAAAAATTCGTCAGGACCCCTGAGGATGGCTTTTTTTCTATAGAAAAAAATTCGTCAGGACCCCTGAGGATGGCTTTTTTTCTATAGAAAAAAATTCGTCAGGACCCCTGAGGATGATTTTTTTTTCTATAGAAAAAAATTCGTCAGGACCCCTGAGGTGATTTTTTCTATAGAAAAATATTTGTCAGCATTTGATTCTCATTGGGTAGAAGATCACCTTACCAAAAATTATCAATTTTAGCCCAAGTTTCAGAGTACCCCCCATATGAGGGTACATTCCGAATTTCAATATTTTAAGGATTTTAGCATTCTTTTTTCAACCGAATTTCCTGTGATTTGGTATTTTGGGTTCTCATAGGATAGTAAATCTTCCTACCAAAAATTATTCAAATCGATTAAAGTTTTGATATAGCTTCCATATAACGCTACCCTCAATTTTCGATATTTTGACGATTTTGAGCACACCTTTCAAATGAATTTGCTCTAATTTGATAATTTGGGTTCTCAGTGGGTGACAAATTTTCCTACCAAAAATTATGAATATTGGCCCTCTTTTAATGGCAGCTCCCATTTAAGAGTACCTTCCAAATTTCGATATGGTAGGGAGCTTGGGCACATTTTTCAACCGAATTGTCTGTGATTTGTTATTTTGAGTTCTCATTGTGTAACAAATCTTTCTACAAAAAATTATTAAAATTGGTCTCGCACCTTTAAGGGTAGCTCCGAATTTTGGGTTTTTGGGGAGTTTGGCCTCATTTTTCAACCGAAATGGCTGTAATTTGATTTTTTGTATTATCATTGGGTAGCAAATCTTCCTACCAAAAATTATCAATTTTGGTATACTTTGATGGGTATCCTCCATATAAGTTTACCTCCCGAATTTCGATATTTTGAGGTTTTTGGTCACGTTTATCACCTAAATTGTCGGTACTTTGGAATTTTTGAGTTTTCCTCATTGGGTTACAAATCTCCACACCGAAAATTATCAATTTTGGTTCATTTTTGAGAATGGCTCCCATATAAGGGTTGCTCCGAATTTCGATATTTTGGGGAGTTTGGGTTCGTTTTTCAACCGAATTGCCTCTTATTTTATATTTTGAGTTCTCATTGGGTTGCAAATCTCCATACCAAAAATTATCAATTTTGGTTCTTTTTTGAGAATGGCTCCCATATAAGGGTACCTCCCAAATTTCGATATTGTGGGGATTTTGGGTATATCTTTCAATCGAATTGTCTCATATTTAATATCTTTAGTTCTTATTAGGTTGCAAATCTCCATACCAAAAATTATCAAAATTGCTCGACCTTTAAGGTTAGCCCCCATATGAGCTTCCTCCCGAATTTCGATATTTTGCCGATTTTGGACAGATTTTTGAAAAGAATTGTCTCATATTTGGTATTTTGGGTTGTTATTGGGTAGCAAAATTGGGTAGCCCCACATAAGGGTACCTCTCGAATTTCGATATTTTGAGTATTTTGGGTGTGTTTTTCAATCGAATTGTCTCTAATTTAGTATTTGGAGTTCTTATTAGGTTGCAAATCTCCATACCAAAAATTATCAATTTTGATTTACTTTTAAGGGTAGTCACCATATAAGGTTCCTCCCGAATTTCGATATTCTATGGATCTTGGGCATATTTTGCAACCGAATTGTCTCCAATTTGGTATTTGGGGTTCTCATGGGGTAGTAAATCTCTCTGCCAAAAATTATCGAAATCGCCACACTTCTCAGTATAACCCT